GGTTAATGGAAGAACAAAAAAGCAGAATTTATCTAATGGAGAAGTACAACCTCAGTCAGGTAAGGTGGCCTTTGGCAAGAGCGTAATGATAAAAGGTAGTCTGTGAATCTATACGGGCCCTGGTGGTGCAGTGGTTAAGAGTTCGGCTGCTAACCAAAAAGTCAGCAGTTTGAATCCACCAGCCACTCCTTGGAACCCTATGGAGCAATTATACTCTATCCTATAGGGTCGCTATGAGTAGGCAATGGATTTGGTGGTTTTTTTGAACTCTAGAACAACTGTTTAAAAAATACTTTAGCATATAGAATACATTGAAGGAGACCTGGTGGCACAACAGTTAAGCACTCAGCTGCTAATTGAAAGATTGGTGGTTCGAACCCCCCAGCGGCTCTGTGGGAGAAAGACCTAGCGATTTGCTCCTGCGAAGATAACAGCCTAGAAACCCAAATGGGTCAGTTCTACTCTGTCACATCGGGTCGCTATGAGTCCAAAATCAACTTGACAGTGCCTAACAACAACAGAATAAATGGACATAATTTCAATTTTAGATTTGTAAGGGCTTCCAGAGATCTTGTATTTCTAGATGTTCATTTTTACAGTGGAGGAAGGTAAAGCTGAAAGGTGAATAAACCATTCAGACTTGAACTCAGGTTCTGCTGCCTCCAGGGAAATGCTCTTCTTTTCCATTGTCCAGCTTTTCACGTTTGACACAATTTAATGATTCTAGAAGTTCAGTCATATTTACACATAAAGTTCCAAATTAGTAAATTTAATTAGTGAGCAAAGGCCAAATACATGTCTGAATTTTGTTGTCAGAACAAAATCAGACTCTATCCAGATTTAATTTGCCTGGTCTCTTTCATATTTCTGCCTACCAAAATAAATGAAGTGTTACTATGAAATATGTTACAGCAATAACCCAAGTGTCTTTGAAAGAAAATATGCATATTTCCTATCTAGCTTGAAAGAGAAATCCCCAAAGGCAAGCTATTTCAAGTTTAAGGGAGCACAGTGTAAAAAGCTATGATGGCTGCTATAATTTAATTTAAAAGCAAAGGGTGACAAGAAACCTGCAAAGCTGGAGTTCTTAAAGGCAGCACTGGCGTTACCGTAGAACGCATGTTCACAAACACCTACAATTCATCTCATATGACGTTTGGAGCTATGTATTTGATAATTTTTGTTGTGTTAGGTGGTGTCGAGTGGGTTCCGACTCATGGCGACCCTGTGTACAACAGAACGAAACACTGCCCAGTCCTGTGCCATCTTCAAAATCATTGCTATGTTTTAGCCCACTGTTGCAGTCACTGTGTCTATCCATCTCGTGGATGGTCTTCCTCTTTTTCACTGACCTTCTACTTAACCAAGCATGATGTCCTTCTCCAGAGGCTGATACCTCCTGATAAAATGTCCAAAGTATGGGAGATGAAGTTTTGCCATCCTCGTTTCTGAGGAGCACTCTGGCTGTACTTTCAAGACAGATTTGTTAGTTCTTTTGGCAGTCCATGGTATATTCAATATTCTTCACCAACACCAAAATTCAAAGGCATTGCTTCTTCTTCAGTCTTCCTTATTCATTGTCCAGCTTTCACATGCCTATGAGTCGATTGAAAATACCATGGCTTCGGACAGGCACACCTTTGTCCTCAAAGTGATATCTTTGCTTTTTAAAACTTTAAAGAGGTATTTTGCAGCTGATTTGCCCAGTGCACATCGGTGATTTCTTGACTGCTGCTTCCATGGACATCGATTGTGAATCCAAGTAAGATGAAATCCTTGACAACTTCAATCTTTTCTCCTTTTCTCTTGATGTTGCTTATTGGTCCAGTTGTGAGGATTTTTGTTTTCTTTATGTTGAGGTGTAATCCATACTAAAGGTTGTAGTCTTTGATCTTTATCAGTAAGTGCTTCAAGTCCTCTTTGCTTTCAGCAAACAAAGTTGTATCATCTGCATATCGCAGGTTGTTAATGAGTCTTCCTCCAGTCCTGTTGCTGAATTCTTCTTCATGTAGTCCAGCTTCTCAAATTATTTGCTCAGCATACAGGCTGAATAAGTACGGTGAAAGGATACAGCCCCGACACACACCTTTCCTGAGTTTCAACCACGCAGTATCCCCTTGTTCTTTGTTCAAACAATTGTCTCTTGGTCTATATAAAGGTTTCTCATGAGCACAATTAAGTGTTCTAGAATTCCCATTCTTCACAATGCTCCCCATAATTTGTTATGATCTACACCACTGAATGCCTTTGCATAGTCAATAAAACACAGGTAAATATCTTTCTGGTATTCTCTGCTTTCAGCCAAGATCCATTTGACATCAGCAATGATATCCCTCTTTCCATGTCCTCTTCTGAATCTGGCTGAATTTCTGGCAGTCTCCTATTCATGTACTGCTGCAACTATTTTTGCTCATATGCAACTTGCATATGAGCAACTGATTGTCTGTTCCGCAGTCAGCCCCTGGCCTTGTACTGATTGATGACATTGAGCTTATCCATTGTCTCTTTCCCCAGCTATAGTTGATTTGATTCCTCTGTATTCTATCTGGTGAGGCCCATATGTATAGTTGTCATTTATGTTGTTGAAAAACTGTATTTGCAAAATTCTGTCATATGATCTCCAGTGTCATTTCTGTCATGAAAGCCATATTTTCCAACTACCAATTCTTCTTCTTTGTTTCCAACTTGATAATTGGGTTGAAGTAATTTTAAAGTAACAAGAATAGGCATGTCCCGAATAAAATATATACTTCAAATTTTTGGAGTAATAAGTAATACAAAATATTATTATTGTACACATTCCTAGTAAGGCAGTATAGGGTAGTGGTTAAAAGCATGAGCTTTGAAGTCATATAGACTTGGGTTCAAATCTCAGATCTGTCACTTTCTAGTTGTGTGACTTTGAGCATGTTATTTAACCTCTCTGAGCTTCAGTTTCCTTAAAAGTAGAAGGGGGCTTGAGATTCCTATCTATTTTTGATTATAAGAATTGAATTAGATAATACAAGTAATATGGCACATTGGTTATATGGAAACATCTCAGAAACCTAAGATGCTATGCTCATTGTATCTCAGCTGAATGCCTATGATTCCTGGTTATTTCTTGTCTTTTCACTTCTCTGGTCTTCTTTTAGTAGGATAGACTTTCTGCTTCTGCCTCAAATTTGGCTCTATTTTACAAAAATACAGACAGCTTGTATTGAAAGACTACACTTTACTTAAATAAAACACTAATTTTCTTCAATATCCAAATGGCCTTATTTATTTTCCCCCATAAAGTTCATAGTACCAAAATGATTAATAATTATCTTGAGCTACTCAAGTACGTGGGTACTAAGGAAGTCAAAGGGTCAATTTACATTGATGATGCTTATCTGGAAGGTCAAGTGAGTGCTACCTTTGGTGGAATATTTTCTTTGTCATTTGTGAAATTTAGGGAATATAAAGCATTTGTTTTGTTTGTCAGGCCTGCTGAAATTCTGCTCTTGAATAGGAGAAGACATAAGAAGAAAAACTAACTTTAAAGGATTAGTTCTATCACATTTCCTCTCACTCAGGGAACTGCATTTTTGTATTAGAATTTAAAAGAGCCCAGGAATTTGATGTGGGAACCTGGGTTTGCACCCACTTATTGACTATAATCATAAGCAAATCACAGGTCTACAGTTTACTCATTTGTGGTTGTTGGGTGTTGTCAAGTCAATTCCTACTCATAGCGACCTCACGTGACAAAGTAGAACTGCCCCATAGGGCTTCCAAGGCTGTAATCTTTACAGAAGCAGAACGCCACATCTTTCTCCTGCAGAGTGGCTGGTGGGTTTGAACTGCCAAGCTTTCACTTAGCAGCAGAGCACTTAATCATTGTGCCACCAAACCAAAACCAAACCCGTTTGCCATTGAGTCTATTCCAACTCATAGCAACCCTATAGGACAGAGTAGAACTGCCCCATAGGGTTTTCAAGGAGCACCAGGTAGATTTGAACTGCCAACCTTTTGGTTAACAGCCATAGCTCTTAACCACTACACCACCAGGGTTTCTGCTGTGCCACCAGGCCTCCTTAAATCATCTGTAAAATAGATATAGATATAATATATATCTGCTAGGTGCTGCCTACCTAGTAGTTTTATCTTGAGCATTAAATGAAATCATGTATGTGAAGGCAGAATTCTACAGAAAAATCAAGGATTTAATGGTTAGACAGACCTGGGCTTAATTATTAATCATAAACTGTGTGACTTTACCAAGTTCCATACCGTTTTTCGAGCCTCAATTTGTTTGGAGATAATAATTCCTCCTAGGCAGATTGTTGTGAGGATTTAATGATGTCACGTGTGACAAGCTTCTAAAAGAAAGCACTGTCTGTCTGACATATTTTTTTTTTTATCAGCATAATGCTTTGTGCATGGGGTTAGAAATAAATATTTTTTGGTACCATAAATGTAGTCTTTAAATTTATCTCACGTACTATTTTAAAGTACCAGATTAAAATATAAAATGACCTAAATTTCAAACCAAAGAGAATTGGTGAAACGCCTATCTAGACGATGAAATACACTGCAGGCATTACTAATATTGTCATTATCATGGAAAGATGTTTGCCATATACTATCAGGGAGTGAAGAACACAAATCAACATACACAGAATGATCTATTTAAAAAAAAAATGAAAAAAAAGCTTGGAAAAATATATTTCAATAAGAGTAGTGGGACTACTGGTGAATTTTATCTTCTCTTTGGGCTTATCTGTGTTTTCTAACATATGTAAAATACCAAAAAAAAAAACCAAGAAACCAATGTCGTCGAGTCGATTCTGAATGATAGTGACCCTGTAGGCCAGAAGAGAACTCTCCCACAGGGTTTCCAAGCAGCGGCTGGTGGATTCGAACTGCCGACTTTTTGGTTAGCGCTCTTAACCATTGTGCCACCAGGGCTCTGTTATTCATATAACAAATGAAATGTTAAAATGTTGAATAAAAATCAGAGGAATATAGAAACTAACCTCCTTCAGCTGAACAGATGACCACAATTTGACTAAAAGGCCCATCTCCTTTATTGTTATAAACGCCAACCTTCACTTCAAAGGGAGTAAGAGGAGGGACACTTTCATCTCTATAAATGAATTTTGAAGCTTCAGACGACGTCACCATTTTTTCCTTCCAGCCACGTGTTCCATTGGGCCTGAAAGCCACAATATAGCCAAAGCCTTCCCCATTCTGAAACTCTTCAGATACTGGCTAAAGAAGAAAAAAGCAATTATCAACAAAATGCCATTAAGGGAAAAAAATCAAATCCTTATATTTTTTTTTTATTATGGATAACTAGAGTAACAGACTTTCAAATATTTATACTACTTTGAAGACCAACATAGCAAATCATGTTGGCAATGTTTGGAAACCTAAAAGGCTTTAAAGGTAAGAGATGAAATATTAAATAATATTGGTTGGCATTTAAGAAAACTATCAAGAGTACTGAAAACGCTTGAAGTGAAACAAATTTGCTCCAATTAGTCATGTATATGAAATGAAGGTCCTGGCATTCCACCCTAGGATTTCACATGTGGGGACAAACTGTCGTATGGTCTGGTGGTTGGGAAAAACTTGTCACTGGGAGCACTGCAGAGCCATTTGCACTGCAAACACAGGAGAAATTAATGCACGACCTTTTTTCTAGTTTTTTTTTTTTTTGTTAAAGCTTTTGTGCTTTACTAACATGTGAAAAAAAATCAGGCTATGATATCTGTTCTAGAAACTTTTTGTGCTGTGTGTGTCAAAAGTTTTGCACCTTTAAAATTCAGTTAAGACCCGGGATGGGTTTACACTAAAAAATAGTAAGCCTGCGGTTGAAAATGAGTAGAATAAAGGCAAAAGCACCACTGAACATAAATATGCAGACTTAATAGAGAGGGGTCAGTTTTCTGAAAGTAGAAATCAAATGCATACCACAGAGAGAATTGTGATTAAATAGAGTTAGCCCTGGAATTAGCAAAGTTACCAATGACTGCCTAGCACAGTGCTTGACACATAATAAATACTCAATAAATATTTGTTAAATAAACAGATTTTTCTTTTGAATTTTTATTTGAGGAAAAACTGTGTATTGTGTGGAGGAAGAGAGACAAAGACTAACAACATAGAGAAGGGCAATTCTATTTGGTAATCTGAATTCAGTGAAGGCCAGGTATTGTGAAGTTAATACCTCTACAGAAAAAAAACAAACAAGACATGAATTTTATTGAAGAAAAGGGGAATGGACTGAAGAACAGGACAGAGGATGTGATCGTGGAAGATTTCTTACTGGGAAAAGAAGTTTTTTTTTTCCTGTACATTTTATCGTCTTTCTTAGAGGCAGTCAGGGATTTGTTCAGCTTTCTCAAAGTCATTCTTATTTCTATGCATTCTAAGGCACAGTTCTGTGAGCTACATTAAACAAAACAAAACAAAAAACCAGTTGCTGTCGAGTTTACTCTGACTCATGGTGACCCCAGGAGTGTCAGAGTAAAACTCTGCTCCAAAGGGTTTTCAGTGGCTGATTTTTGGAAGTAGATCACCAAGCTTTTCCTCTGAGGCACCTCTGGGTGGACCTGAACTTCCAACCTTTTGGTTAGCAGCCGAGAGTGTTAACCACTTGCACCACCCAGGGACTCCTCTGAGCTCCATAGTTATATTTGATAATAAGGTTATTTAACATCAAAGAAGAAAAGTGCTTTTATGAAAAATGAATGTATCCCTCACACCCCTCTTCCACACTCCTTTCCCTTGACAGAAGAAACTCTGGAGGTCATATGGTGAAATAGATGAAAGACTACAAGTTTTGTATTCAAAGTCTCAATTCTACTGCGTATTAGGCAAGGTACCAAAACTGTGCCTCAGCTTTATAATTTGTAAAATGAGGAATATGATCCCCACTAAGAGAAATGGTGTCTGGGTTAGGTGAGATACGCCAAGACTGAACCTCCCATTCAAAAACCAAAACCAAACCCATTGCTGTCTAGTCAATCTGACTCATGGTGGGGGGACCCTGTGTGTTACAGAGTAGAACTTCTCTATAGGGTTTTCTTGGCTATAACCTTTATGGCAGCAGATCTGCAGGCCTTTCTTCCATGGTGCTGCTAGGTGGGTTCGAACCTCCAAACTTTAGATTAGCAGTTGGGTACAAACTGTTTGAGCCACCTGGGATCCCCTCCCACTCAGTGGTGGCTAATTCCTTCCTCTCCACAGGTTTTAGTCTCCAAAGAAGGGTGCTACTTAATCATGAAATAACTGAATTGCAAATTAAACCAAACAAATATCTGAAGTAATCTGTGAGAGGACATGTTTTAATCATTGAAAGTTAATTCTGAGATAACCTCTATGACAGGAAGGCAAATCTGAGACTTGTAGAAAAGTCAACTGGGACCTGCTATAAAAATGAGAAATGTTCATTTGGCAATATTCATCTGAGTGAAACATGCTCAGTATGTTTCTTAACCTCATTCCAACAGAAATTACACTGTCCCTCTGTACCAGGTGCAGATAGTATATGTGTAGCCTCATTCTCTCAGAATTCAACAAGTTCTGCCTTCCAAGCAAAGGCTTTCTTACCTCCCAGGCAATGACTAACTCGTGCCTTCTTCCACTTCTTCCACTTACGTTGGTGGGTGCTGTCTTTGGAACTAGGGAGAGAAATGGGTCATGAGTGAGGAGAATAAATACATATGTAAATTAATTGTCCGTACAATAAGAACACATCATGACCCTGCTCAGGTTGGGTAAAACCCTCAAATAAACAAATCAAAAGTTTGTTTGTAGAGTGATCACATTAAACGTTAAAATAAATAAATTGATCGTAACAGTTACCTTGCTCTCAATCTATGTGTGACAGTTTGATATATATTTTTTCATGGCCATGTACCGCACCCCTAAACTAATCCTCTTGTAAATGTCCTAGGGTAGCAATTTCTAAATCATAATATCCACTATAGGTATGGACATCTAGTAATGTTTAGTTAAATTTTATCCTACAAATTGCTCTTCTCTGCTTTGAGAAGGATGTGACTCTTTTCTGCCACCCCAGAGTCTCTAGGGCCACAGACAAGTCCACAGGTGGATGCTAGCATTTCTGCTTCACCGGAATTTACGGAAAGCTCCAGTTTAAAGAAACCTCAGCAAGAGTTCCGTGGAGTGAGAATCTACTTAAGTGAATTAACATTAAAAAAAAAAAAAAAACTATCAAGAATGAATCTCTCTGCCAACTGCAAAATATATAGGCACCCAGTGAAACTTTTTCAAATGAATAACTATTAAAAGAATAAATGTGTCAAAGGAATAAATTTCCCCTTCATTGCACCAAACCACAAAATCTGCAGTTGAAAGGGAACATTTTCAAATGAAGAACTGTTAAATGAAGAAAACTATTAAAAGCAATCATTTTCCAGGCTATGAGCCTGCATAAGCAATTTTACACTTCAGCATTGCCTTTGTATCTCAGCATATAGTTTTCAAATGATATTGATATACTCATAAACAATCAATTCACTCTGATATATTACCTACTTGGATGAAAGGTTATTAATTACTGGTTGACATTCACACAGCATTTTATATACTGCAAAAACCGATGCAGGCTTTTTGTACTATCAGAAAGGAAAAAAATTTTTTCTTTTTTTACTTGAGAAAGGATGTGGGAGAGGAAGAAAAGCCTATGAATATCTAATTAGCCCCAATGAAATAAGTGGACTTTATTCACCAGCATCCAAATGTCAGTGTCCTTGGGCACCTCTCTTCATGAACATGAGTTCTTCTCTTGCTCAGGCATGTATAGAAGGATGTATATAGCAGTAGTTACCAATCTTTTTTCTCTCACAGTTACACACATATTAAAGGATATTCCTATTTGAAATTTACTCTCATGGACTTGTTTAGAACTACATGTCTATTGGATACCCCTGTTCTATTTCATAACACATGGAGTCACCACGAGTCAAAACTGACTCAACGACAATGGGTTTTTTTGTTTGTTTGTTTGTTTCTCATTCAAGAAATCACATAGAATTCAACTGAGAGAGAGTGGTAGTATTAGAGGAATAACCATACATGTGTCCAAGTATATATGAATAGCAAATCATTGATTTTTTATTAGTAGTCACAGTTATTGCTACATATAACAACCTGTGACATACCAGTGTGTCCTGCCAACATATCTGAATACTACTGTTACATAGTACTAGTTCTGAATTCATTTTTTTTTCTGTGCTATGTGGAGTTCTGATTATCGTGACCACTAATGCAAAGTTAAATAAATAGTCGAAGAAAATTAATTTGTTGATATTATGCCATTATGATCATTATGACTTCTCTTAGTACTATTTGTTTGAAAAAAATACATATTATATATATTTTGCATAAAATTAATATGATCAAACATCTACTAGATGTTTTCATTGAGTTCAGAGAAATGCATATTTACTCAAAAAAATGAAAAAAAAATTATATATATATATTGCTGTTAGCTGCTGTTGAGTCAGCCTCTCATTGCAAGCCCATGCACATGTACAATAGAACAAAACATTGCTTGGTCATGTGTTATCCCCATGATTGGTTGCAAATTGGACTGTCGTGATCCATAGGGTTTTCGCTGGCTGATTTTTGGAAGTAGATCCCCAGGTCTTTCTTCCTAGTTCGTGTTAGTCTGGAAGCTCTGCTGAAACCTGTTCAGCATCATAGCAACATGGAAGCCTCCTCTGACTGATGGGTGTTGTCTGAGCATGAGGTGCATTGGCCTAGAATTGAACTTGGATCTCCCACATAGAAGCTGAGAATTCTACCACTGAACCGCCAATGCCACACGCACACACAAACACACACACACACGTAATCCTTGACAACTAATGTTTAAATAACATTAAAAATCATAGCTAACAGAGGCATTGGAATAGCTAAGCTTACACCCTTAATTTAGGACTTAAATTCTTTTTGAGGACAACCTCCCTAGGATTATGGATTTTTATGCAAAGCTAAGGCAATGAAGATTCTTTTCTATTTTATCTAAGCCTCAAACATCATCTGAATTGTCTTACAGTAGACTGTAGGCCATCTAATGAGCATCTCGTGAAGTCCATTTTAAAAAAAAGTAGGGGAAGAATGGACTATAAGAGCTTATTTGTAACTGTTGAAGTCAAAACATTATTTCTGAAGCTACTACTAAAGCAGAAGTGCTCATTCCACAGACTATTCATGCTTTTATTTTTTAGAAAACATTTTTAGATTTTTCAAACCTTATTTTTTTGAGTAAAACAGAATTTTTAAAAAGCTGGTAAACAATTTGGTGAAAATTATCACTCGGAGGAAATAAGAAAGCAAAATAAGGCTTTCTATGATGTGATTCATTTTTACGTGGGTTAAAAAACAAAAACTGAAAAGCAAGTCCATTGCCATTGAGTCAGTTCTGACTCATGGCAACCCCATGTTAAACCACATCAAATTATCCATAAATGACCTAAGTTCTGTAAATTTTTTTGTTATTTGAAATCAGTGTGTGAGGCTTTCTTACTGCTGCTAACTTCTTTTCAAGAGAAGATAGCTCATATTCAACTTAATTAATGTAAAGAAACAAGCTCCTCCTTTCCTCACCCTACCACCAATCTTTTTTTTTTTTTTTAATTGTGCTTTAAGTGAAAGTTTACAGTTCAAGTCCGTTTCTCATGACAGCACACTCCTCTTTTCCACCCCGGATTTCCCATGTCCATTCAACCAGCTCCTGTCCCTTTTTGCCTTCTCATCTCTCCTCCAGACAGGAGCTTCCCATTTAGTCTCATGTATCTACTTGAGCTAAGAAGCAGTTTCTTCACGAGTATCATTTTATGTCCCATAGTCCAGTCTAATCTTTGTCTGAAGAGTTGACTTGGAATGGTTTCCGTTCTGGGCTAACCGAGAGTCCAGGGCCCATGTCTTCTGGGATCTCTTCAGTCTCAGTCAGACCATTAAGTCTAGTCTATTTGCTAGAATTTGAGTTCTGCACCCCACTTTTCTCCTGCTCTGTCAGGGACTCTCTGTTGTGTTCCCCGCCAGGGCAGTCATTGGTGGTAGCCAGGCACCATCTAGTTCTTCTGGTCTCAGGCTGATGGACTCTCTGGTTTATGTGGCTCTTTCTCTCCCTTGGGCTAATATTTTCCTTGTATCTTTTATGTTCTTCATTGTCCTTTGCTCCAGGTAGATTCGGACCAATTAATGTATCTTAGATGGCCGCTCACCAGTTTTTAAGACCCCAGACGCCACACACCAAAATGGGATGCAGAACATTTTCTTAATAAACTTTGTTATGCCAATTGACCTAGATGTCCCCAGACCCCTGCCCCTGCTACTCTGTCCCTCGAAGTATTCGGCTGTATTCAGGAAACTTCCTAGCTTTTGGTTTAGTCCAGTTGTGCTGACTTCCCCTGTACTGTGTGTTGTCCTTCCCTTCACCTAAGCTAATTCTTACCTACTCTAGTTAGTGAATACCCCTCTCCCTCCCTCCCCACCCTCGTAACCATCAAAGAATGTTTTCTTCTGTGTTAAGACCATTTCTTGAGTTCTTATAATAGTGATCTTATACAATATTTGTTTTTGCAACTGAATAATTTCACTCAGCATAATGCCTTCCAGATTCATCCATGTTATGAGATGTTTTGCCGATTCATCATTGTTCTTTATCGTTGGGTAGTATTCCATTGTGTGAATATACCATAATTTATTTATCCATTCTTCCATTGATGGGCACCTAGGTTGTTTCTGTCTTTTTGCTATTGTGAATAGTGCTGCAATGAACATGGGTGTGCATATATCTATTCATGTGACGGCTCTTATTTCTCCTACCTCCAATCTTAATGTAGTATAAATGACACAAAAAGACATTATAGTTCATTGTGTTTTAATAGTATATGTGGTTCATTGTGTTTTAATAGTATATGTGTATAAGCAGTAACTACTCTTAACCAAAAATGCTTACTAGGTATAATAAACCCATTGCTGTCGAGTCGATTCCCATTCATAGCAACCCTACAGGACTGGGTAGAACTGCCCCATAGGGTTTCCAAGGAGCGTCTGGTGGATTTGAACTGCTGACCTTTTGGCTAGCAGCTATAGCTCTTAACCACTGAGCCACTAGTGTTTCCGCAAGGTATAATAGGAACTACTAATAGAAAGCTTAAGCTCTAATAGCTGCAATGTGGGCATTGTGTTTTATTGTCAGGATCACAATGTTTGCACTGGCTACTCTAATTCTAATTGGCTTAAATTTCCTAATTACATGCATCTGATCAGTAAAACGCATGCTTACTCATTTCCTTTTCAAGTTGGTGGTGCACAATTATCATCTCTGCATTCAACATTAAACGGATATTTTAATTATATCCCTTACCATCTATAAGACCACATATTCTTGATATGAAGGGATTTGACTTAATGTTTCAGAGGACTTCTGGTATAAAAAGTTCTATAATTCTTTTTAGAAGTGTAAAATTAATATACTCAAACAGCTACTACATGTTTCCCTTGAGTGCCGAGAAACACATACTTACTCAAAAAATGAATATATTGTCAATGCAGTTAATGAAAAACCTAATTTAGAATTAAGCACCTAGACCCTTTTCTCTCTCAGTTTGCTAGTGATAAATGTCATGAGTTTATTAGCTTA